AAAATCAGCTCTTAAGTGATTACTATTAATTTAAATTATGTATACTCAGAACAGGAACAGCCAATCAGAGACATGGATTTAAACTATAATCCATTCTTCATTATTTAAAGAAAATTGTAAATGTAATTTTATTTATGTCATCCAGTAATAATTAATGCATGAAATTAACAATATGCCTAACATGTTTATAACATATAGGTATATAAATAGAGATTTAATAGTAGCAACTATCATACAGAGAAAATATAGAATAAGGGGTATTTAGTGCCACATTTACAGGTGCAGGTGGTAATGACGTAGTGAATGGAAAGTGATTGCAAATAAAATAGTGTTTTATTCTTGTTGTACCCCTTTTAAATTATGGAAATGTAATGAAATTGAATATAATGTTGTGATACGTTCAAATAAAATGCAAATGCTGGGTTAAAACTACCTTTTTCTGATTTACATTGCTTCAGATAACATTTACTGTATATTCCTCCAACTTGTGCTCCCCTCTCTTTTATACAGCAAGAGATCTCTGGAACCCTAGCACTTTTAATCGTAAAGAAATTTGAAAATGAGATTTCATTCTTCAGTAAAAGCAGTAAAATTATAACTATCAAATCCAGTTACAATTATTTCTTTGATAGTAAAATCCAGTCCCGCACCACCACACTCAGGGACAGCTTCATCCTGCAAGCCATTAGACTGTTGTCTCCCTGCACACATACATATTTATTTTACTACTGTAGATCTTCACAATATATATTTTTACCCGTTCAGCATTATTGCATACCAGTCTACCTCAGTATAATAGTTTCTAGTTTATGTGATATTCTATTCTATTTTTATATTATATTCTATTAAACTCGTATATTTTGACTAAATGTCTTTGACTCAGATTCTCTTTTTTTCATCTCTCATTTAATTTTGTTACATTTTGTGTGAGCATTGTTGGGGGGAGCTCGAGAACAAGACTTTCATTGCTGATGACTGCTACACTGTAATTGCTGTGCATATCTCAAAAATCTAAAGAACAACATGTAATCGGATTGCTATTGCTTAGGATGTAACAGTAGGTTAGAAAAAAGCCCACAGTGGTGATAAAGATACATATCTCCATCAAATTAATCTTTAATACTCTGAGTAATGCAATAGAAGATCCAACCAAACTGAATCAAACAGATCCCACTCAAACCAGTGTTAAATGAACTTTCTATAATATAGAGTAATGTAGGTACAATGTTTTAAGGTCACGTCAAATCAAGAGAAGCAAATAGGATAATACTTTTCAAGTTTAGGTAATATTTTTTGTTTCATACCAAGAAATTACACATTGATATGAAACAAAACAAATGAATGAAAATAATAAAATAATTTTTTAAAATATTAAAACGGGCAGGTTTAAAGTGCAAGACTGGTGACATTAACATGATTAATTTTCAGGATGAGATTTGAGGACAGTTTCCTTCATAATTTAAAAAAATTAAATTCTTTGATTGCAGAAACATGATGAGACTGTCATCCAATAAAAATACACACAACACCATCTGGCTCCAATCAATCACACACATACACACACACACACACACACACACACACACCCAACACACACCAACACACATACAGCAGGCTTTGATAATGTTTCTCTGCCCCTTACCAGCTTTGCCCTGATAAAAGATCAGAAATTTCACTAACTGTTCAAATAATAGAATAGACTGGCAGACCCCGTTGCCAGGCCTGTGTGTGTGTGTGTGTGTGTGTGTGTGTGCGCGTGTGGCTGTGCATGTACTCTCATCTATTTGATTGAAGCTCTGAACTGTTGAACTGCAGCTACACCACTTTATCTTTCACTGCTCATTGTGAGGGCATGAACACACACACACACACACACACACACACACACACACGCACACACACACACACACACACACACACACACACACACACACACACACAGGCAGACAGCCCTGTGTTGAACTTGAGATGAGTTATGGAAAGGAAAACAGGAGTTGGGGGTCAGACCGTATGAGGTCACCCTGAAAGAATCTCCACTCTTTCTCAAGCACTCTCTCTCTCTCTCTCTCTCTCTCTCTCTCTCTCTCTCTCTCTCTCTTTCAGTCTCTCTCCTCCTCAATAAGCACGATTACGTTCTGTTTTCTGCTTCACCAACGTAACCATCTTCAGCATTTCATGGTTTTCTCTTCCATTTCCTCGTCTCCCTCCATTGCTTTATTTCTTTGCCTCCCTTCCTTTCCCCGTTCCTCCTCCTCCTCCTCCTCCTCCTTTGTCTTCACACTGGACACCATTTTCTTATTCCCTTAACCTTGCATCCTATCTAATCAAAACATGATGTAATTTCTCTTATCGATTTTCCATTCTACAATGTGTGGGGCAACTACTGTATAGTTATGGCAGCTAAAACTCTTAACATTAGGGAAATATCACGGTTACAGTTCATAAAAATGCAAATAATAGTTAATTGCAACTCTCAACCACACTGACCTCCACACCCATCCATCTTGCTGAGGCAAACGAGTTCATGCACTGGCACTGGGGGGGGCAGCTGTGGCTCAGAAGGTGTAGAGCAGGACTCATCGTCCACTGATCAGGTTGGTGGGTCGATCCCCGGTTCCTCCAGCATGTCAAAAGTGTCCTTGAGCAAGATACTGAACCCCAAATTACTCCCGATACTGTGCCATCAGTGTGAATGTATGTGAATGGTTGAACGTGACGTGTAATGTAAAGTGCTTGTGGTGGTCGCTATATAACTGCAGTCCATTTACCACTGAACATTAGCATTGGATGTAGATTTTGATGTGTGAAATTGTCTAAGATGGACACAATACCTAGGATACTGGTCTGGTAATACACTCTCATTTCAGCTGGGTTAGGGTTAGTAAGTGGTAAGTGCTGCAGGAATGAGTCCATAAACACAGAACTGACTTAGGATTTTTGTACTTCCGGTTCCCTCACCATTTAAGTCAGTGGGTCTTTTGAATGGGTTAAATGATTGTAATAAGGTCTGTGGTTAACACACGCTTAAGAGATTTTCACGTTTTGTTCTACGATGTAAAATAAGTCACCGCCTGGGAATTTTGAAGCTTTTACGTGTCTTAAAAAGGCGGTTGCTAACAAGAGGCTAAATGAGATTACAGAGTTAGAGTTGTTGGTGAAATTAAACATCATCATGCCAAACAGAGTTTAGTGTTAGAGACGCTGAAGTCAAGCGACTGTGGTGTAGTTCATTTATAGCTTAACGTTAGGTTGATTTAAACATCAGGTTTTGGTATCATTCCATCAGAGTGAGGGCTTCTTTTAAGAGCCACCACTTTACAGCTATGTTTGATACTCATACAAAGAGGAAAAGGAACAGGAAAGAGCAAACACAGAGACAGCATTTTTAGGAAGAAGTTAGAAGTATCAGTAGACATCATCATTAAAAAATGACTGTGATACTGGAAGATTGCACACTTCACAGATTCAAACACAAATGTCCAGTGTCAATGCAGGAGGTAGTGTATTTAGCATTTATGTAGTGAGGTGGGAAGTGAGAGTCTAAATCACAGCTGAAGACTCTCAGTTGTTGGATGTTGTGAAATGTAGAAAACCTCTAAATGCAGCAGAGGAAGATGAGACTGTTTAAAAGTAGAAAGGAACTGCTCTGATGTGCTGGATAGGATGAGGTGTGAGTGTGGAAGACGATCCGAGGGAGGTTGTGTCGGGGTGTGTGTGTGTGTGTGTGTGTGTGTGTGTGTGATGAGGTGATGACTGAGCTTGCCACCCAGGCTCCAGAACCGACATCTTCAGACCAGTGAAGAGGAGAGGGAGATGAAGATGAGGAGGAAGAGGAGGAGGAGTGTGTTTACATGTTTAGATATCCCAGAGGCTCTCCAAAGGTCAACGGGTCAGAGAGCCACCCGGAAAGCCCTGCTACATTCCTCACTGTAGCCCTGCATATATGTGTGTGTGTGTGTGTGTGTGTGTGTGGGTCAACCAGAGGCCATGCAGCCATATGAATGTGAGAGGCCTGACTGCTATTGAAATGCATGAAGCTCTCTGTATGTTGTGTTTTGTCAAACGATGTGTGGCTTTAATCCAGAAGGAGGAAGACAACCAACTCAGTTTCCTCCTTAATCATTTCCTCTTTTCCTCCGTCACTTTTTCTCCTGCTTCAAGCTCTTACTGGACTGCAGACCTGTAGTGCACACATTCTTGGCAGTCACACATTTTACTTTCTTGATACTTGTGCTAATCCTTGTGTGTTGTGGTGTGTCACCTTTCAAGCATTTTCATTTTGGGAAACATGGGACATGTTTTTATAGCAGGGAACAGAATTTATATCAGCCTCTCAATACTTTGACTTCCCTATGTCTGTTAGTTCCTACCAAAGATGAAAACAGTTCACAAATATATAGAGCATTTGAAACATTTTAACTGTTTCACTTTGTCTGTAGATGTTTAACAGATTACAGTGTATGTAACAATTCCTGAACATAACTAAGATGTTTTTTGTGCCTAAACCTGCCAAACCTTAAACACAGTGATAGTAATATAAATCTGTAGACAGACTATTGAAAAATGTTATGATGCTATTAGTTGCTGCATTTATTGTAGTACTGCAAGGTTCAACATTTTTTTTGCTTAGTGTTGCCCATTCCCAAGCTTCTTTTTAAAAATTAATCCAATAACCACAAACAATTTGGAAAACAAATGCAAACAACATGACCTATCACAGAGACATAAGCATTGTTTTGTCAAACTCTTGCCTCATTTTCTTCATGTTTTGTTTGCCTGGAAAAGCTGTAATATTGCACAAATATACGTTGAGGCCTGGTAGGGCATCAAAATGGTTTCTGTGGGCTTCACAGTGTCCCTGGAACATGCCATGGATGAGAGATGTTTGTACAGCTTTCAAAGGTTGGAAATGCTGGATGCACATGCAATTTGTAAGTCAGTGAATATATGTAATATACAAAACTGTCTAAAGAGGACAAAAAGATCATCTCTGCGGTGGATTGACAAAAGAATCTTTAATTGAGGTAGCTTAAAGTAGAAAAAGACAGACGGGAACAGGTTTGGGAGTGTTTCTAAGGCAGCAGAACTAATAAAACTCAGTCAGTCTGCTCTCATTTAAAAACATCATTGTAAAAAATACAGCAGTTCACAGTAATGGCTGACCTTTAACCAGACAACTTTACTCTTATGAAGTCATAAGTAGGAATAAACCTATTCACATAAAGTCATTTTATCAGGTTTTAAGTATCACAACCTTCAGCAGATGTCCATAGGGAAAACACTCCCTTCGCATACACACTTTCCCCCCCATAATCTACAATCAATAACATAAAATGCATCCAATAATTTATTCTCATGGGGGAAGAGGCAGTAAAATAGAATTTTCCCACTTTTCCCACTCATCGAGGAGACGCGTGTGTCTAACAGGCAGCATTCTTTTCAGTAGTTCTCTTAAATTGTGTTCCCCCTGCACACACACATACATACATACACACACACACACACATCCCAAATTAAGCCCTGAGTCGAACTAGCGTGTTGTAAATCAGACTGTAAAGGTGTTACAGAACATAAAATTCAAGCTTAGTCAAGCAAGTTTTTGAGCACTTTGTCTGAAAATGTTACCCTGTAGTCACATAGTGCAAAGGCCAGAGCTGCATGGGGGGAGACATAAACACAAACAACAACAACAACAACAACAACAACACTTAAAACATTCAAAAATAAGCATCCAAGGTTTTAAAAGTGGAATAAAAATAGTTACAATCAGATAAGACAACAGTGTGTTTTCGCCACGAGAGGCTCCCTGTATTCCTGATCATAAGGCTCATTTAGTTTAGATTATTCAAACAGGTGGGGGTTGAGGACGGACCACTTTACATAATGAATTCATTTTGTTAAATCTTCATGTCAACGATCATGAAGGCTTTCAGTGGAGTTATACCCATAATGATCTAAGTGTACATCATGGGCTTTATTTGTACACCGAAAGCAACAAATGGTGGCAAAAAAAACCATTGACTTTAATCCAAAGTGAGAAAATGTAAAGAAAATATTAGAAATTATGTATTATCCACCTTAGATAACCCAATACCATTATACCCTGTAAATTCATATCAAGATGGCAAAGTGCATCCCATCATCATCATCATCATCATCATTATCATACTGGAAGGATCCAGCTTTACCCTGTACCACACCAATCACCTTACAGTTCAAAATAGCTCCCAATCAAGGAGAAAATCTCTAATATAATGTTTGTCAGACTAAATTCTCGACAGGTTTTTGTCCAGGAATAATTCACCAAATATTTTAGCAGAACAAACTGCTTTTTATAGTGCTGAAACAGACAGGCATGGGTCTTTGATTTTGCCTGTTTGGACAGAGCGTAGACGTGTGAAAAGTCTGATCTACAGAGAGTTACTGCACCAAAGGTCCATTATTTGGTTTTCTACCCCTTAAGAGGAAAGTTTACCACAGAGGTTATGTCTTAGTCTCGATGTGTACATGAACTGTGATTAACCAATGAGTCATTTTCCTTCTCAGATTTTCAGAGGCCTGGAGGGGTAAAAATGTGCAGACATATTATTTTTTTAAAAGAAGTTAAGACTCACAAAACAGAAACAGAAAATTAATAATCTTATGTAAGTATTTTTTCTTTCTTATCCCTTAAATGATATTGTGATCCTTCCAGGAGGCATTACAGAACCTACAGCTGGTTGCTTTCTGCACCGAAGCAAGAATGTGGCAAGGCGATGATTTTACTGTATACCATATTTTGGTTGCCTCCTAGCAGGTCCCCTCTCTTCGTCAACACTTCAGTGCACTTCTTGCAGTCAGAATGTCAACTGTGGTGGACTAACTGTGCAGTGCATCCAGCTGCAGTGCGTTTATGGTCCTAATAGGCCACTGTAGTTCATATATATCAGAAACAACTGACCAATCAGTGCAGAAGCAGCTAATATACCAGAACAGGAACAGTTGACTGAATGCATAAGTCCAGGGGCTGGGTGGGTTTTCAAAAGGAATTCTGGGACATGAGAAAGCGGTATCAGGCTCATTCTCCTATAACATGTAGCACACAACAAGGAATGCATTAAATAGTGTGTCACTAGTACAGGACAGTGGGCCACCTGTTCTCCACAGTGCCACAGGGACTGAGTGACTGCAGAACCAATCACGTGGCTCGCTCTGACTACTCCGAGCTCGGGGACGCGCCCGGAGACGTGGACGCGGAGGAGTGGTCGGTGTCCTCCAGCTCCTTGTTGAAGCAGCCGTCGGTACCGGAGGAGGAGGAGGAGGAGGAGGAGCGCGTCGTAGCGGAAGCGCCCTCCCGCTCGCGCTTCTTCTGCTTCATGCGCCTGTTCTGGAACCAGATCTTCACCTGGGTCTCGTTGAGCTCGAGCGTGGCGGCGATCTCCACGCGCCGAGCTCGCGTCAGGTACTTGCTGAAGTGGAACTCCTTCTCGAGCTCCGTCAGCTGCCGCGTGCTGAAGTTGGTGCGCATGGCGTTGTTGTGTGCGCCCGCGAGGCCGAAGTCCGACACCTTGACTGAATGGAGGGGAGACAGAGACGGTGTTAGAAACACATCATTTTATATACTATATAATATAACTGTATTGTTTATTTTAGTATTTTATTCATATGATTGAGAAATAAAAACATCTGCTTAAAGAACATTCATTGTAAATAAATAACTAGATCAGGAAGTAGACTGTTCCTCTTGCTAAAGGCCCCTTTCACTTTTTTAGTAGGTCTATTTGTTCTTATTTTATTTATTTATTCTCATTTTATTTATTGCTATTCATGCTATTTAAATCCAGACTGTGTTGGGCCTATCCTTGCTCTGCTTTAGCTCAACGGATGGCAGCTGCAACGCTGTGTTTCATAGCTGTCCTCAGGATATCTACAGACTAACAATGGTAAAAGAGAGTAAATAATAATAATACGTTTAATTAATATCACAAGAGAAGAAAGAAATACAAAGGAGGGGGAAACGGGCTGGATGGAGGGATGGAGGAGCAGGGCTGGGGGTGTAATGGAGAGTATAGAGGTGGGGGGGGGGGGTGCTTTAAAAGATAACAGAGCAGGACAGACTTCCCAGGGTGAAATAACCCGTCTGCTATATCCATTAAGAGAGAGAGAGAGAGAAAGAGAGAAAGAGAGAGAGAGAAAACATATCAGCCGTCAGGGGCCATGTGGACTCAGGCCAGACCTGCTATCAGTCTTGAGATATGACCGCAATGATTGCATACTGAAAACACATGAAGGCTGTTTTTTATTTTGTTTTTTTTTTTGTTTTTACTTTAAAACGACAAGATATCAGTATTCAAGTTTATGACGTAACGAGGAAATTAAATGTTTTTTATTCGTTGTTCCATATTCGCTACAGCAATAACCAAATAAACCTTCATATTTCAATTTAAAATGTATTTGTTTCTCACTTTGTAATAATGAAAAGCAAAAAAAAAAAATCCCTGAAAGAGATTAATTTTTAAGGAATAATGTTTTTTCTTTATTTATTGTAAAGCGGAATTATGAGTTTTCCATGATAATAAAAATAAAATGCTTCAGGTTTTGGTGCAGTCGCAGTTCTTGTTAAAGAAAGGTTTCCGCCAAGACAACAAATGTGTTATTGTTGTCGAAAGACCTGTGAGATGAATGCATGGGTCATAATTAAACTTTTCTTTTTTATATAAATGTGACCCAAAAATAAATGTATGGCACACCTCAAATTGTTTTGGGTTTTTCCTATTTCTTAATTCTTCGTCGGTTTACAGTGAAACGAATTCAGACTTGAGTGATTAAGCCAAGTGAAAAGAGGACAGAACAGTTAGAACATTTACATTAGAAAAGGCTGACATCTGTGTACAGAGAGAAAATGAAACCGAGGCCTGCAGGGAAAAAAGAAACATTTTAGGCTAATATTAATTTCGTTATTTATCAAGCGTTATTGGACCTCTTGAGCTCATGCTGTTACAGAAAGTCTCTTTAACAAAGCCTTTCAGTCAGTACAACTGTTTTATAGCCTGGCTTTATTTTTCTCATTGTGTTGCTGACTATTAGCTATTTTGTTTTATTTTTTCCAACATCTCAGCTATGTATAAGCCATTCCTAAAATAAGCTATTTATTTTCGGCCCCTTGCTGTAACATTTCCGTTGACAGCCACTATGATAAATGCGGAAGAGGCCACTGGTCCTCATCTTCAGTGGAAACCTCACAAATCACTGCTGGATCTCAGCAGTTACTGCCTCTTCTAAAGGCTTCATCTTTAACCAGTTATCGCCAGAAAGAGCACCCACCCTCCCTCACCTGTTTTAGGCGGGTTCCTCTTCACCTTCATCCAGTCGAAGGTCTGCCCCTGCCCGGCCTGCTGGCCCTCCTCGTCCCCCCTCTCTCGGTCCTGTGAGACGGGTAGCTCCCCGTAGCCTCCCCCGTGAGGAAGCCCCAGATAGCCCGCTGCGTCCAGACCCCCACCAAGCTGCTGCGGGTACTGTGAGCCGGCCAGTGCGCCCTGAGGCCCGCAGTAGGCCCCGGCCAGGGCCCCGTAGCTGGGGCCGACTGTGGGAGCCGAGCTGGGGAAGGTTGATTGATGGTAGTAGGTGGAGGCCACAGGCTCCTCCATGAAATACTGCGAGTGAACGGGGTTGGGAGGGCCCGTCGCGGAAGGGTACTCTGAGTTTCTGGCGCACGCCTGGCCCGCGTAGGCCCCGGTGTTGCCGCTATTCCCGGTATTATAAGGAGACAATGTTCCGCTTTGTAAGCTTTGGGTTTGGTGAAGGTGAGGATGATGCTGGTAGCCGCTGTGCGTCTGCTGATGCTGTTGTTGTTCATGATGGTGATGAGGATGCTGATGATGATGCTGGGTCGCCCCTGTGGTCCCGTGCGCTCCCTCACCTCCAGTGCCCCCGTACAGTCGCCCATCCCCGGTGTAACTCGCCCCCGCGGCGCTGCTGTCACTTCTCGTCCCGTTCACGGGAGCTGGAGAGCCGGTTGGTCCCGTGTGGAAGGCGCCGGAGGTCACCGGGAAGCCCTGGTGCTGATCCAGAGGATGGTGGTGGTGATGCAGATGGTGGTGGTGGTGGTGGTATCCAGGTTTAGGCGCAGGATAAGCGCCGGTCCCCGGTCGGTTACAAATGGAGTATTCCACAAAGGAGTTCATGTTGTCCATGCAGACCGGAGGCACGGTGGGAATGAGTACAGTTTGAAATGCTCAGCAGGAAACGGGAGCCCAAAGGTGACGATAACAGAACTTGGGTGGAAGAAAACATCAACAAACATCGAAAAGTTCCATTAAAAAGGTTTTTTCCCAAGAGTCAATAGGATGATGTGAAATCCCTCTGAGCGAGCATAAACCACAAGAAAAATAAAAACCTCCAAAGGAAAATGAAGCAGGCTATCTTTAGACAAAAATCATCAACCAATATTAAATTAAAATTCAGTCAAATCTGAATAGAAAATAAAAATAAAAACGTCAGAAAGTTCCAATGTGCAGGGGGAAAAGTCTGCACGTCCCCAAACCCGAAACACACATGAATAATGCTCTGCTGCGGTGTGTGTGTGTGTGTGTGTGTGTGTGTGTTTGCGTAAACGGAAGGCCTGTCAATAGCTCAACTCAACCTGAGCTCACCAAACGCGCCTCAGTGACAGCGGGAAACACCGCGAGAACACACCTCTCCACCCCCACACAGGTTACTCTCCGTCCTCCGCTCTGCTTTTCTCTCAAACTCCCTGCTTTTCCCTCTTTTTCCGTGACTCTCTTTCTCCCCCTCTCTCTCTCTCTCGCTCTCATTCTGTCTTCCGTGTCACTTCTTTTCTTACCTCTGTCGCGGGTCACGTGGGTCGTCGTCACGTCGCCTATGGTGACCGGAGGCCAGAAGTTTGTCGGTCGGTCTCGGGAGCGGGGAACCAATGTGTGTGTGTGTGTGTGTGTGTGTGTGTGTGTGTGTGTGTGTGTGTGTTTGTGTGTGTGTAGGAGAGGAGAGGGGAGGGGGGGCCTTTTGGTTTAGAAGTGGAGTTTGCGCGCGCGCGTTTGTATCGACGCACGCGCCTCATCCATCACTCGCCGTGACATTAGCACGACAAAGAGACTTCAATCAAACCGGCCCATCAATCTGATATCAGCACGGATCTGTCAGAGCAAAGAGAGAGGCAGAGAATAAAAGAGGAGCTGTGAGCCGGCCTGCTGCTTCCAGACCTGCTCCCTGCAACAGTCCTCCCAGAAAGCAACCTACAGTACAAACACTGCTTCTTCTAATGCCACCTCTAGAACTCCACCACTGCTGCTGCAGGTCAAGCTTATTATTTCTCCAAATATTCTGAGTGTGACTACTAGACTACTATACAGGGAAATTGTTGGTGTTCAACAGCATCGTGTTGTGTTCGGGGCCCTGTAGAACCCAGAGTCCTCTTTAAAAGCTCAACAAACTTTCTTAACATTGTTCTAACACAGTCAAAGTGGACGGTCACTGTTTCACAAATGCTGAACCTTTTTACGTGAAGATGAAAGCACATTATCATCCCTATCTTGTTGCTGCTGTTTACATTCACCCAGATTCAAATGTTAAAGAATTCACTGCAGAATTATTCCCTGTGTGTATGTACAGTAATTTATTTTATATATTTGAAATGTTACCCTATTCTGATCCTTGTGTATCGACTGCTTCACAATTCATTTCCTGATTGAGTGACTTATATAACCTGATTCTGAACGGATGGCATGTTTCAGTAAACGTCACTTTGCTTTCCTTCTAGCTGTGGTTAAATAGGCTGCAACGGATCTTCATGTGCTTTTATGTGAGATCAGTGCTGACAGTAGACTTTTACTTCTAAAACCCAAATATAGGATTTCTGTCATTAGAGTTTTATAACAGTTTGTTCATAAGAGCTCTAACAGGGATTCAACCTCTCTGGGCTCTAGCTGATGACAAACCTAAGGAACATCACTCTGTTAGATAACGTACTGTATATTTATTTATGTGGATTACTTTTTGGCCAAGAAAACAGCTATGTTTGTTCATGTACAGCTCCTATAACTTATAAAACATGACACATTTTCTTATTTCTGCTATCAACAATAATTTATAGCTATTTTGTGACCCTGATCAAATGTGTAGGTCCAAAGTGAAGAGTTACCACTCCAACATTGGGTTTTAATAATGTCAGAATCAAAGCAAAAATACATCTATAAAGAAACAAATAGGTTGGTACGAAGTAATGTCAATCAAACACAAGGTTAAAAAGATGAAGGATAATTCCGGTTGTCAGACTTTAACCGTAATTATTTATATCTTACTCACCAAAGTAAATGCTGAGATCTTGGTAGGAAACACTGAAATGTTAAGGCACACAGTTACTGCATTTTCCATTGCACTGCACACCTAAATGTATATTGAATGTGCATTATTAAATAAGGCACCATCAGCTGTAATGGTCAAAGCTTTTCTTGATAAGATCTGGGGTCCCTACACAGGCACTGAGAAGACTCAAAGAAGGACCTTTATCTGATGTATTTTATTGCCAAAACTATGGAACCTGGTGTATGTGTTTAGAGATAACGTTACCGTATAACCCGGACTGTTATTCAATGTAAGGACTGTAGAAGAATATTACTGAAAAGAAGACAAATCAGGTTTGAACATGCAAACAATTTTCCAGATTGCTGAAGCCACTTTATTTGGAGGTAAGATTAAAGTAATAATTCCTCATTGCATGGGGAAACTGAGCAAGGACATTAGGAGAACATTAAAGCAGGATGTGAGACTGTAAACTGTGACTGATGTTTACAACAGACAGTTTGGGTATTCATTTCACCATTCACCTTCATTTTCTCTTCCCATAAGTTTGGCCTAAAAAAAAAAAAAAATAAAAGCCAAATTCTAATAAACTGGAATTACCCTTTAAAAAGAAATTATCATTATACTTAGCTCTGGGCTTACACATTTGGTTTTACTCTTGGAGCTCAGCACAGGGCTGACTAAACCCCGCCCCCAGCGAGGTTACCCCCTCCTTTTCTGTTAAAATAAGATCAAAAATGTGAAAAAAGCTCAGAACCAAAGCAGTGTGTTCATTGACCAGAAAGTTCTAATCAAGTCACATGCTGCGTGCCCTTAAGATCCTATCGCCCTGACGCACGGTGAGCCCAGATTTACCAAAAAGGAGCATAGCTTCAATCAGTGCTGTGAGTTTTTTTTTTTTTTTGTTACTTTGGTTTGCTTTGCCAGCAGCCAGGAAACACAAGTGTGAAAAGCTTTACATTATTCAAACCAACACTGCCTCTGTTTGAGAGAAATGATTTATTAACTCAGACTGTAAATCTGCTGCGAACATCTTGTTGCTACAGTGAGCCTAATGCTGTGCTGAGTGCCAGCTGTTCAGCCCTGACATTTAAATCTGTCAGTGTGTGGCTGATTGACTGACTCACTGACCTCCACTGTAACAACGTCTACACCCAACACCGTAGCTTCATCTTTCCTCTCTCCTGTTTGTTCTTTACAGTCATTTTTCCCATCAGCTCCGATCATCTTTCCTCCGTCCCACCTTCAGCCCAGTTCTTTAACACCGATCGTCACTTTAAAGGTTATTGATTTGACTGATATCTCTCCTTTGCATGTTTTCCTCGCAGGACAGAGGAAATCTTTTAATGGATCAAAAGGTTTCTATCGATCAGAGAGCCCCGATCGCAGAGACTTTTGGGAATCAGTTTACTTTTCAACAATTGGATTGGGAGGCCATGGATTTCTGATGGCTGAGCGTGCATGTGCGAGTGCACGTGGGAGAGTGTGTGCGTTTGCTAATTGAATGAATGAGCTGATCTGTTATAGAAATGAGGTTAAGGCAGACAGGAGGCCTTCTGGTCGGCCAAACCCTGCCGGTGCAGCAGGACAGGAAGCGGGGAGCGCTTTGAGACAACACAATGTTCTGTCTGTGAATGTGTGTGGAACAAAGGGCTGCAACTGTGCACAATTGAACTTTTTACATTGGAGTTTTTTGTTTAATTGTATTCTTTGGAAGGATTTTTTTTATCTTTCATCTTAGAATTGTTCCAGTATAAGACATTTTGTAAAAACATTATCTTATTCACACCCTGCTTAGGGCAAAATCCCCTCATGTCTTTATCAAATGCTTGCTCATGAAGTGTCTGTTTCACAGTTTGGACACCTTCTCATTACTGATTACCCCCCCGTTATTATATCTGCGTTCAATGAACTCGTCATCCATTTCTCCCCTCCAGAGCTTGACAGCAGACGCGCCGCCGTCCAGCCACCAGGACGAGATCAGGACGAGCGGCGTGGGCGTGCAACAAGAAGGGAGGTTAATGATCAGCGAGGGGCTGAAAGGAGAGAGAGGGAGAGCGAGTGGGCAGGAAGTCTGCAGGAACAGAGTGGGACAAGAAGAAGATTAAATGACGCCCACGCGGGCTGTCTGGGTGGTGAAGAGACTACAGGAGAGAGAGAAAGAGAGAGAGGTCAAGAGGTCAGAGCTCCAGTGTGTATAAATTCATGTTGTTCATGAGTTCTACTTTTGTTACTTCATTAAGTACTTTGCGTGTTTATAGAGTTTTTAACCCTGGATATTAACAGCTCATCACACAACAGGACATCATGGGATGTCTTATAAATAGAATGATACTTTTAAGGTCCTTTTCATGTGGCTGTGTATGCATGTTAAGCTTTTCGCTTGTCATTTAACATCATTAGAGATGGCACATTTTCAACATGTTAAAAACAGTCAGGTGACATTGTGAAACCCTCACTTCATTTAGAGGTTTTCTGTAACTTTCAGAAAAACAGTGTTAATAGTGACACCAGTGGCCATCAATTGAACTGCAGTCAGCGTCCTGTTGCTCCCACTCACTCTCTGTACATAGTCTGCAGGCTCCAGCGAGTGTTATCTTGGGCATCGGCCAAAAGTGACATAAGCTAGACTTTCAGTGTTTTAAAAAGCTCTCTCCAGATTCTCTACAGTTTGTTTCACAACCCAAGACAATGAGGGGAGAGCCGTTCAAGAAACCACTTTGCATTTAGAAATCTACATACGATTGGTAGATGGGAAGATCTCCAATTGCCTGGTATCCCCAGACTACCAACTGGTTAATCCTGAAGCTTCCAACTTCAGTTCAGTGCCACAGGTCTGCTAGAGAGCAAACAAAGGCTCTAGATTCGACGTAATCTTTACACTTTGATATTACAACTCTGAGTTGGACATACTGTATTTTGTTCAGTAGTAGCCTATTTATTGTGGTTATAGACTGTAGTGGGTTATATATATATAATTTATAATCCATGCTACATATTTCAGCCCACATACCCAATATTTACTTTGCAGTTACATTGGAAAAGGGGTGAACAGGGGCCACTTTATTTTACAGCCTGCAAACTGTAATTATGTGAATGAATTATATGAAAAAGGCTGAGCAAGGGACGTTTAATTTTGCAGTAAAGCTTGTGTCTAGAAATAAACCTTCGTATTCTCAACAATCTGTATGAAAGTCATTTTTTAAACCCCTTCCACGTCCCACGAGAACCATTATATGTAGCATACAGTAGAAGTGTTGGATCAGGGCTTGATAATCAGTTGTGTCCTGTTAAGTGTCTGTCTTTCTGTATATATAATATAATATAAATCAAGATTTTCCTTTTTTGTTGTTGTTGTTGTTGTTGTATGTAATAAAATGGAAAATGAAAAAAGAGCTTGTATGTGTTTGAAACAATAAAATCAAAAGCAGAAACTAAGTGTCCCTGTTTTTCTGGTGCTCCTCCACTTTCAAAAGACTCAAGCTGCTTCTTGATAGGCCGACCTTCATACCTCTTGTGGGGTCATGACCTCCAGGTTGGCTCAGCCTGGTTTCTGTCTTGTCTCAGGTCAGGAGTGGAATCTGAGAATCAGCCACACACCTCAGACTATCTGTTCCTGTCTCTGACTGTTTGGTCTGCATATTTGGGATGTTCAACCAGGATGTAGCACAGTCCTGGATCAGGGTTAATTAAGAAATACGATTAGAGAGCAGCGATATAAAAAAAGTGCACAGTTTGAACTTGTCCTCACTTCTGAGAAATGCAGCAATCTGATTGGACAAATAAGTTTCCTGTCCTTTTGCGTTCTCCGTCTATCTCCTCTAACACTCCTATCAGACAGGTCAAATGACTCCAGAACCAGGAATTTATGATCCAGTATTCCTGGAAAAGAGTGGGGATGTGCGAGTGTTTGTGTGTGTGTGTGTGTGTGTGTGTGTGTGTGTGTGTGTGTGTGTGTGATATGAGGGGCTTTTTGAAAATCATGAAAGATGATATAGGAGAGAGAGTGAAAGAGAGGCATTGACAGAGTGGAAAAAAGAGAGGAGTTGTGCGTCCAGACAGCTGACGTTGTTGCATTAGCTCTGAAACCTGAACCACTGATGCAGACACATAACAGCATTTATTAACCGTTATTAATAACATTTAACGCACACACATCTCAGCTGATGGACAAAGAGAGGAAGAAAGTGTCAGCACAGCAGAGACTCAACTTTTTTTATTTTTCCTCATGGTGTCAGTTGGAATGTAATAAATCAGATTTTAACACTTCACAGCCATTGTAACCGGCGGCCATATTGTTTCATACCATTTTACCAGTTTTGACACGGTATGTGATCGCAAGTAGATCTTCCAGTTGGTTTACTTACTTTTAAGTTTTTTTGCCACCTTACAAGTCATTTCATGAGTTATAATCTTTTCATATTCTACTATATTCTACTGTCTTATCTTTAAAACCAGCCCTGTGTCCTAGAAATTAAGTTCATACAACTAATTTGCAACAGAAAATAAACTTTAAGGAAAATGTAATGCCAATGAAATAATGTTTTCTATTAATATAATGCGAAAATTGCAAGTCGCAATATGTTGATCCTGACGTATGAGTATGTAAAATGTTCACTGACAACGATTTCATTTGTTTTCCGCCATAATAGGCAATCTTACAATACTATCCTAGCGCAGTGACTAAAGCATTATTCAAAAGTCAGCAGTGACCTGAGGCCAGTGTTGGGAAAGTTACTGAAAAATGGTAACTAGTTACTAGTTACTTCTCTCAAAAGTAGTCAAATTATTTTACTGATTACTGCATATAAAAGTGATTAGTTAGTAAGTTACTTTTGTGTTGCTTTTAAATTTCTGCTCTAGTTTTCTTATTAATGCACACAGCTGTAGAATATATATATATATTATAAGACAAACGTATCTAGTTGTTAATACTCCCGGCCACCAGGGGGCAGCAAGGAGTAGCGTTCCTAGCTGTAAACTACACTTATTGTCTGTGTTAGTAGAGACAGGAGGATTCAGTAGAAGAAGACTCACACAGATGTTAACATTAACCAAACTTTGCCACCTTTGTTGGTTAATAAATAATTACATTTGATGAAATATAATTAATCATGAATTAATAAATGAAGATACATTTGGCTGAGCTGTGTTCGTCTGCCATCTTCTGCACTTGTTCACTGTTCTCGGGTAATTCATGAGCCCATTTAAACTTAAATTATTGTAACTGCTTATTTAATATGAAAAAGAAATTAGTTACATTACAAGTTAGTGCCAAAAGTAATGTAGTTACAGTAACGCGTTACTTGATAATGCGTTATTCCCAACCCTGCTGACATACCATTTTTTACATTTAACCAAAATCCTTTCTCTACCTTAGTGCTTATTGACCTTTAAAATGTGTATCCTGGTAGATTTCTACTGTGTATCTATGACTGTCGCCATAATAGATGACAGTATTTCACAGAGCTGCCCCTGCTGTCCCTGAGTATTATGAACTGCCGCTCAGTGTTTTGGCCTTTGATAAGCCTTTAAACACATTCATCTGTTACTCCAACTGGACTTCCTGGCCAAGATTACATTGTTACACCAGTACCTGAAGCAACATGCCAACACCAATGCAGCCCTTGCATTGTTTTAATGCAGGGCCAACTGCTTGAGGAAGTGCTGGTTATCACTTCTCAACATCGTTATCCTACTACCCATAAGCCCTTGTGTTTTGAGTTTTTTGAGTTAGTAATTTCGGGCAGCAGTTTTATAAATTCACTTAGAGATCCACATTTTGACGCGTGTCTCTGCTGTTTTTGGTGAGCGTCCCGACAAACCAGAGGCTAGTAGGTCAGTGTCACTTCAAGTTCTTGTGGGAAAGTGGCGCTGATTCAGTGTTGTCCTAATACTCAGTTCACACACCTCCAGTAAGCAGGTGTGTCCCATGTCTGAAAAATGCCTACACAGTGGACCTGCACCTCTAATACAGTAGACCTACATGCTTCAGTTACTCTGTTATGCTATGTTCATATTTCTCCTCTGTGTGTGTTTGTGGTTCATTATCATCTGATTGTAACTGATGCTGTTGTCTATGGTTGATCCTACGTATTTGTTTATCAACATAACATTTGCATCTGAGCTTAATGAAGCCATGTATTTGTATTTGGGTGAGAATCATTAGTGCAGTGAGCTCCGATGAATCTCCACACACTATGACACTCTGCAGTCATGACAGACATTTGGACTCAGTTATACATCAAGAACATTATAAATACATCACAGAATAGGCACTTGACTACTGGCAATGGGTACTGGGTAGTGATGTGTCATTTGTGTCGGTTCTATGAGCCAAGCATAATGCAAGCATAACTACTAGAATTATTATTTTGAATAATTCAAGTGATATATGAGCACACATGCCAATCATAGGTCCCGGCTCTTGTAGTATGTGTCTCAGCTTTTCAGTTATTCCCAATTTATGTAATTCCAACACTGTTTATTGACCCCAGTATGCAAGAATATCCAAACAAACTTGGTGGGCGTGTCTGTAAAGGGGAGACCCGTAGAACCCATTTTTATTCAGATATCTTGAGGTCAGAGGTCAAGGGATCCCATTGAAAATGGTCATGCAAGTTTTTCCATCACCAAAATTTAGCCTAATTTTGGAGCGTTATTTAGAATGTTGGAAGCATGTTGGCACCAATGGATGTGTTAGGTCATCTAGTTTCATATGATCCCAGTATC